ATGGAAAAACGTGGCTCTGAATCTTTGCCTTCGATTTTGATACCATACGAAACACTTGCAAGGGTGCTCTGGTGTCTTTGGGAGCCGTCTCTTGAAAAGACGCCAGCTGAGCAGAGGGTGAGGGTGTCCGCTGGAGTCCGTGGACCGCGTCCTGTCCCCGCAATTTTAGAGCAGCATTTGGTTTGTGTTCTGTCACGCATTTTTCGGAATAGTTGTGCAATTTCCCCCAAGCTGCTCGCTGTGCTTGACAAACTTTATATTCATATTCATAACTGGGTGAAAGGGGCCTGCTTTTCCGTGCTAGCGGAAGGCAGCAGTTCTGTGCCACAAACTCTTTATCTTGTGAAGCCGCCAAAGAATTGAGCTTTAAAAAACCAAAACAACAAAACAGGACTTTTTGTCACCTGTGTTACAAAGTACAGACTCAGAAGACAGACTCTGGAGTCAGGGAGTCACCCCGCTCAGGCACTTGCTGGTAAGTGACCAAACCTCTCTGTGTATCATTTTATACTTGGTGAAGTGCGAATCCGAGAACCATTCCAGGGCTTGTTCTCTGACAGGCCTCATGCTTGTTCCCAGCCAGGGAAAACCCTGCATTTCTGATCATCCTCTCTCCATCTTCCGTGTGCTGGGAATACAGGCACCAGCCATCCTGCCATGTGTACTAAAGATAAAACCTAGGGCTTCATTCATACCAGGCAAGCGCCTTACCAACAGAGCTACATCCCCCAGCCCTGGTCAAGGGTCCAGTGAGTTAAGTTTCTAAAGTGTAAGTAAATGGACTTCTATATGAGGGCTTATGGAAGTGAGAAACAACCGTAGAAGTTTCAAGTGACCGAGTCGCTCAGAAGACTGGAGTTCTGCAAGGGGCCGGGATGCACCTAAAGCATATGTTACTGACAACCAGGTCATTATGCATCTGTTCAGTTGTCGGCTTATCAGGGGGATCTGGAGACAGGCCATGAGATGTGAGTCAACTTAAGAGTGGGTCCCTGCTTAGGGGAGGCACCACTCCAGGGCTCTGTAAATCACCGGGACTCTGCTGTCAAGCATTTCTTGTGCAAATAAGATAACACATGCTTCCAAAAAATGTCAGTTCTCTGTTTACAGTTCCTCTTGGGAGTGGAGGGACCATTTGTTTGCCTAAATAAGACCCGCACAATGACAGTACAGGTTGGAATGCCAGAGTGGATGGGGGAAAGGTCACAAAGCCCTACCCTTGGATGAAGGGCTCCAGGCTATGAACGACTGCTAAGAGAGAAGAATCAGTCTTCTCCAGGGGTGAGGCCCCCCCCCCGCCCCCCCGTAGGTTGTTCAGTTCGTAGTGGTCAGTTTCAAACACACATATACGGGAGCAGCACTAAAGAGACTCAGCAGGTTCTGTGTGTCTCTATGTGTCTGTGTGTGTCTATGTGTGTGTTGTCTGTGTGTGTACTGTGTATGTCTCTATGTGTGTCTGTGTATGTGTCTATGGGTGTGTATCTATGTGTGTGTCTATGTGTATGTCTATGTGTGTGTGTCTGTGTCTGTGTGTGTCTCTCTGTGTGTGTATATGTGTGTGTCTATGTGTGTGTTGTCTGTGTGTGTCTGTGTGTGTGTCTATGTGTGTCTATGTGTGTGTCTATGTGTATGTCTATATGTGTGTGCCTGTGCGTGTCTCTATGTCTATATATGTGTGTCTGTGTGTCTATGTGTGTGTCTATGTGTGTGTGTCTCTGTGTATATGTGTCTGTGTGTGTCTCTGTGTATATGTGTCTATGTGTGTCTCTGTGTATGTGCCCATGTGTATGTCTCCATGTCTGTGTGTGTAAACAATAAATAAAGATCATGAGTTTGAGAGGGAGTGGGGGAACAGTCACAGGAGGAGCTGGAAGAGAAAGAGGGAGGTATAGAAATGATGTATTCAAGGATGAAATTCTCCAAAAAAAAGTTTTAAAAACTTAAACTATGACTGATGATGATGTGGAAGGTCCTTCTGTATATGTGTTACTTTTATTGGTTAATAAATAAAGCTGCTTTGGCCTATAACAGGGCAGAATGTAGACAGACTGACAGAGATAGAGAAAGAGTAGGCGGAGTTAAAGACACCATGTAGCTGCTGAAGGAGACAGACACCCGGGAATCTTACCAGTAAATCACAAGCCTTGTGCTTAAAATACAAAAATAATAGAAATGGGTTAATTTAAGATGTAAGAGTTAGCTAAAAATACACTTAAGCTATTGGCCAAACAGTGTTGTAATGAATATAGTTTCTGTGTGATTATTCAGGTCTGGGCAGCCGGGAAACAAATGAGCAGTCTCTGCGTACACAGTGGGGTTTGGTGGTGCCTGCCTGTTATCTTGGCACTTGGGAGGCAGAGGCAGATGGATCTCTGAGTTTAAGGCCAGCCTGGTCTACAGAGTGAGTTCCAGAATAGCCAGGGCTACACAGAGAAACTCTGTCTTGAAAAACTAAAAGAGATGGGGGTGGGGCGCTGGAGGTTTAGCTTAAATGTTTGCCTACCATACATGAAGTCTTGGATATGTGGTGGCTCCCCAGACTCCCCAGAGGCACCTGATGCCCTGGCCGGAGGCTGCTCCCTGGAATCTGCAGCAAACGTAAACAATGTCCATAAGAGTAGGAAGATGAGGGAGACCATCTTTAATGTCAAACACCAAACAGACTGAACTGTAGGGCCAGGCTGTAAAAGCTCAGGGTAGCTCCTCCCCCAGTGATGTACTTCCTCTGGCAAAGCTGCACCACCCACACCCACCTCTCCATAACTTGCCCAAACAGCACCACCACTGGGGACATTTCCCACCAAACCACCACAGATAGGAAACCAAGAGACTCTCATCGTAACGAATCTGGTTAATGAATCTCTGTAGCGAAACATAAAGAAAGAAGTATTTCCTGTTTTCTCAAAAACAGTGGATTCCAATAACATTCCAGCTGCCAATTTACTTCCAGTCAGTCAGTTGAGTCCTTACTTAACACGCATGAAGCCCCTTGTCCATCCCGACTACATCAAATCAGATGCCGTGCGGTGGGTGGTTCATGCCTGTAATCCTCCCAGGATTCAATAGGTGGAGGCAGGAAGATCAGAAGTTCAAAGTCATCCTGGGCTCTACAGTCAGTTTCAGGCCAGCCTGGGCTATGTGAGACCCCATCACAAAGTGAAAATAGAAATACTGTAAGTCATTCTATGAGATTTCTCCTCAGGTGGGTGTGCTGGCTGCCCTTACCTCTAATCCTTGAACTTGGGAACTGGAAGGCAGAAGCCAGAGAATCAAGAGTTCAAGATCTGCTTATGGAGTTGGAGGCTGGCCTAAGTCACAGGAGACCTATTCAAAGTTGGGGGATGGGGGAGGATACTATTCAATTCTGTGGTTAAAAGCTTGAGATCCCTGCATTTTGGGAGGACGTCTAGCTGGGGTGGCTGGCTTGTGCAAGGTTCCCTGGATATCCAGAAGCGGTTAAGACCGGAAAGTTGTCTTTGAAGCCTTCACTTCACAGTCACCCCATCTGCCATAACACCTGTAAGAGTTCCTGTGAAGTGGCTGGTGACAGAATTCAGTGGGTGAAGGCGCTTGCTGCTAGTCCTGAAGAGCCACCTCTGTTGGATTCCTAGGCCCCATGTGATGGGATGGGAGGCAGTGTGTTCTGAACACACACACACACTCACACACAGTAATTTTACAAAGTAAAACTTAGTGCTAAGTAAACACTTAGTTTATTATTTGTTTATAGACAGGGTCTTCTAAGAGACTGGTTTTGAACTGACCCTCCTGCCCCCATGCTTGGGTTTTATGTGGTGCTGGGATCAAACCCAGGGCTCTGTGTGTGTTTAAACACTTTACTATCGGAGCTACAGCTCCAACGGGCGATTCACTTTTAATTGGAAAGCGAGTGTAAATAGGAGTATCAAATTTGTGTTAGTGATTGCACTGACCGCACTTAAGCCTTCCAGGTGCAGTTCACGGGCACAAGCGCGCAAGACTTTGTGCGCTCACCTATCCTTTACATCCCGAAAGCTATGGGGAAACTGCAGCGACGAAATTTAGGTAGCAAAGCAACAGCTGGGGAAGACGCTCTGCAAAGATGCTCTGCACTAGCCTGTAGAGAGGAGATGGCAAGACCCTGTCTACGCTACCGGAACATATCTTTTGATAACCAGAATTGGAAAATAAAAACAACTGGGGCAGAATGAATGTGTGCGGAGGGGCTGCGATTGGGAGCGGGCTTATCTGAGATAATATATATATATAATATATATCCACAACAAAATAAAACCCGTGTCTTTCCCAGAGAGCCCTGGTAGTTTGAAGGTTTCAGGGAAAGGCAGCCAGTCCCGGTACCCCACTCTTTCCCAAGTTAGGTATGCCCACCCGTCACCTCATCCCGGGCCGCTCCCTGACTTCCTTTCCCTTCTTTCAGCTTCAGACTTCTCTGCCCGAAGGGACGCACAGGCTAGAGCAGGCTCTCTGGGCTCATCCATCAGCAGGAGAGGAGGGGCAGGAGGAGGAGTTTCTAGGCGGCCGAGCCCCCGCG